CAATAGGCGATTCTATATGGATCTCGGCTCTTCGCAATATAGGTATCTCTACGTTCTAGATTCCGAGGAGCAATAACATTCAGTGTTCCATATGCTCCAAATATCTAACAACCGGACTGTTCCTCGGTGCTTTCTTCTTTCGTACTGCAGCAGTGGCTGTAATCAAGAATTTGGACTATCAGGAGGTGGACAGTCAGGCGATGGAACCGGTTGCCAGCGCATTTAACGCGCTGATTCCGCTCTTGAATTTTCTTGATTCGCGCTGCTTTATGATGTGGTCGACTGTTTTGTCTGGGCAGATGCAGTCGTACGCTGGGGTTTCTTTGTAGCGCCACTTGTGCAGATGGTAACCCAGTGCTAACGTGCGTCACGCGAATCCTGTTCAAGGTTGTCCATTGTTTACGGGCAGAGTGGAACCCGGGTAAGAATTCCTATCGGATCGTCGATTAGGTGTTTGTTTGGCACGTTGGAATTCAGCCAGGTTTTGTCCCACTCCTTGTTGGCGCCGAAAGATGATGAAATTAAATCGTGGGTGGTATACCAGAATCTTCCACTGCCAAAGTGTGTAGTACCTTCATATCTTGCGATTCGAGTGCGTGAAACTGGTTTTCGACGGCTTTCCGTCGTCGCTGCCGTCTTCTTGCATCCGAGGACTGTAAAAGTTTGGTTGCTTTGTTCAGGTGGGCGGCCCTTTCTATTCTTTTAGGAACAGCTGTCTCAGGCAGCCAGCATGGCGTGTACGCTTTCCGGTATCCTCTGGGAATATTATTCATGGTTGCAGCATAGATGAATTTGCCGAAGCGATCAAAGTTTCCAGACGTGGCAGCGATGGAGACCATTTCCTCTTCGACTTTGGAGGTAAATGATGACCAGGCGGCTTAGCGAAAGTTCCAGCATGGAATCGGCTTCGTCGTTACTAATAGTATGTCGATGTTAATGTGAATAAGCGACAGTCCGTGCTAGCTTCTTAGGAAATCGTCCAGAATCGTGCGACTGGTTAGGATCGGTGTTCTGTTGTTGTCATTGGAGGAAAAGCAGAGGCCCGGGTTAGAGTCTCTTTTTCAACGTCCTGATAGAAACGTTCTGTGCTTCTTCGGCTCGAAAAGCAAATGGCGGTCCTCGGTAGATGCCCATTCGGCCATTCTCACCCCGCACTGTTATTCTCTGAAAGACCCCAATGAGCATGGTGGCTACTGAAGTCTCGACATGAACCGCGGGATGGTTCGTTAGCGGCATCGATAGTGCTGTGCATTTCTGCGTTGGTGGCTTGTATATCTTCGTGATGGTAATTTTTCCAACCCTTACAGCTGTTGTGCTGATAATACTGATGTTTTCTTCACTGAGCACAGCGAACTCCTGCAGGTTTTACCGGATGAAAGTAGCGATCACTGCGGCGGTGAGCTGTGTAACCAACGATCGTTTAACGTGATGCCTTAGCTTCGTGGTCAAAGTGCGTTTCTTGTAAAGGAACGACGTGTATGTTGTGATCCTTGAAAGTTCACGACAAATAATCGCATTTCGCGTGCAAAGTCTGGGGTCGATATTTCGCCTAGAGTAGCTCTGAGAAAGGTTGATGGGTCTTAGGGCAGGGTCTGATATGTCTTTGAGGAGAGTTTTGTTCAGGGTGGTCGTGATTATGACCATTTGGTGAAGCGTTGCTATTTCACCGATTTGACAACATTAGTTCGCGTTTCGAAACGACGCTTAACAGGTAGACAATGTGAAGACTGTCGTCTCGTCATTCTACCCATTGGTGCCTAGCATGTGGCTTTGCGAAGAGAGTCCATTATGCGAATCTTCCCTCTGGGATACCTGTTCAAACAATCACGACTGTAAAATCTCATATTTGAATAGGAAAGGTTCACAAACACGAGTATGTTGATGAAATTAAGCAACGCGGCGCAAACTGGGGTACAACGAAATTTCTAGACACCTGAGACCGAGTAAAGCAGTGGCGCGATGGCCGCTGCGCACGATGCATCAAACGAATGTATGGCTATGGCTTTCAACGGACATATCAGAGAAAGTGCAACGCATCCATACAAATGTCTTGCTAGCTGCTATTCCAATATTTAATCTATATAGTATGCCCGAATCTATCCAACTTTAGAAGTTCCATGGCTCCAATTCGACACGGTCTATGGAGCCTAAAACACAGCCTCTGAGACAGAAAAATATTCACCTCCGCACCGCTCAAATCTGATTCGACGAATTACTAGAATTTTAAGCACCAGCTTAGCTGCTTCTTCAGCGACGATTTTTCTGTCATAGTTTCTTGTTCTATCTAATTTACCATACATTACTGATGTAAAGCACTTATAAACATCATCGCCCGTCAGAGCCATGTTGGAAAAGACCGAGAAACGTTGAAAAGTCATCGATGCAATCCATCGCAGAAGAATGGTCAATTAAGTCGAGCAGTCAATCAATCAGTCAGCCACACGAATCGAAAAACTGCAGGCCATGCTGACATCGGAACTGGCCTACGAGTGCAAGATGCATTGCGCAAGGCAGGGCGCATTGGAAACATGGATAAGGAATGCGAATTCGTTAACCATTGCAACATCTGAAAAGTCAGCAAACTGACAGGCTCTAGAAAACAATTAAAAACGGATCAACGGCGCATGCGACGGTGAACGGTCTTCTCGTGACGCTCAACTTGCCTTCGTTTTGACAACGGAGCATCTCCTGTCTGCAATTTTTTCTATGTCGGTGCTGCAACAGCGAGTGACCCTCAAAGCGGCATCAGAACCATTCGAGGCAGCGTCCAGTTTCGATTTCCACGACTTCGCTCGCAGCTTGACGGGCGACACGTTGGACGCGTTGCCTGCCGCCGTCACGGCTTTGTCGTCCGCATAATAACTCATGTGCATGAGCTGGTAGGTGATCGCATGCTGTGGAGCGTCTTTGCCGCCGGTCATTTCAGGTGGTCGTTTTTGCGCCGAGTCCTTTTGCTGCTGGTTGAAATATTCACACAGCTTTCGGCCCTCATTAGACTCTGCTGCGGTGGCGGTAGAAGCGCATGCGTTTACACTAAAGTGTATAGTGACAAAACGTACCCAACGTGTTCAACGTAACAACGATACTAACTTTGTGCCGCCGGAATCTGCTTCCGCCTGTTGACCGGAATACCTGGTGGTATCGATCGACTTCTCGCACTCCGCCTCCTCTTCTTCTGTAATCGGCGAATGGACCTGCTCAGCAGACTTAGAATCGCCGCGACGCATCTCCGTGCCAACTACGATGCCGCCGAAGCCGGCAGCGCTGCTGCCTTTGTCGCCGGATATCTCTTTTCTGGCGGCAGACGTTTCTGAAGAACTTTCCAGCAGCATGTCTATGGCACTCTGTTGCATTTCGTCAAATGACCTGCCGGTGATTTGGAAACCCATCGCAAATGAATGGCTCAAAGCAGCCGTTTTGGGCCTCAACAATAACGAGTTAAACTTCGATGGGCTTTTGACTTGTTCGGCACCTAAGTTGGATATATTTTGAGGTTACATGTAAACCAGTTCGCCTTTCAGTCGAGTACATATCGCGTCGTTTCATGCATAACGAACCGACATTTGCAGAATTAGTAGAATGCTATAAACGGGTTGCGACACAGTTGAACTAAACGAGACGAACAGAAGCAACATCATTAGTAACGATACGTATAATTCGAATATTACTCTGGGTTTGTCTTCAGCTTACAATGTTTCGAGGCAGCTGCATGCCAACCATGAGGCAGTTTCGGAAAATCTGTTCACTCCACTTTCTTAAAGGCGCGTATCCATAACAGAAGGAAGATTTCAGCCTTATTTATGCCCTTTCTCGCTCTGACTTACCAAACTAAACCGACATCTAAACTTCACAGATCCCTAGGAAAACTCGAAAACAGCTACAGAAATAACTTATTCTTGCACATTGTTTCTCAAGCAGCTTATACATCAAATAGCTCATCCTTCCAGTCACTAAAACTTTGTTTCTGAACCAAAACTTCCACGCAACCTTGCCGACAGAATAATCGATTGGAAGCCTATCAGCGGAAAGGTGGTAATCCTCCGACTGAAACTACAACAGGCTAAATAGATGACCTTGGTACAGGTCTATGCGCCCAATTTAGAAGGAGAATATGAGACCTTCCTTGAGGAAGTGCAGTGAGCTCTGTCTGAAGTGCCGAACACAGAGTCCCTCATATTGATGACCGATTTTAATGCGAACGACGGAGTAGACGCTGAAAAGTGGAACGGCGTGATGGGTAAAACGGCCCTAACGACCTCAACAATAACGGCATGAAGTTGTTGCGGTTTTGTGCAAACAACGGATTGTCTATTATGAACGCCTTCTTCGAGC